ATGAACTTCCTTCTCTTTCTGACTGTGGTTCTCCATCTCTGGCACGGCCTCCCTGCCCTGGTCCTTGTCTCCCTCCTTCAGCCTTCCCGGGTCTGGCATGCAGGGGGTGCATGTAGGCCATCCCCTGCCCAGAGGTGCCCTGCCCTGGCGTGCCAAGCTCCTCTGGAGGACACCCATTTCTGCAGTGTGCAAAGGCTGGGGGGCGGGGGGCAGCGGAAGCCAGGCCTGTGCTCTGCATGGCTTTTCCTCCGTTTCTTGGCACCAGCTGCACAAAGCTAAAGCAGCAGGGAGCTTAAGAAGAGAAAAATGCTCTTACGATGCCATTCGGGAAGTCAGAATGCAAACTGGTCAACTAGAAGCAGCTGGGCCAAACCTGGCTGTTTAACACAATCTGTTGTAAACTACAGAAAGAGGTGTGTGTGTTTTGAATAAATAGGCAAATTTGGTGAGCTTAACAGCATGCTGGCTTTCACCAAATTGGCTTGGCATGTTGACCCATCTGGAACTTTCCCTTCAAGAATACTGTTGGGCAGACGCGTCTCACCCAGGTGAGAGGTTCCTTTCTTACTCCCAAATCTCCAGTCCAGCAGGGACCATGACAGACCTCACAGCTTGTAATGGCAGAGGTTCTGCAAACTCAGGTAGCCACAGAGTTGCTTGCCAAGGAGGCAGGAGCTCCGGAGGCAGGAGGCCCCTTCCTCAGGAGCACCTTTCCCAGGTGGCGCACCCCCCCCCCCCGCAGACCCCCAAGAGAAAAGGCCTCCCAGGATGCACGGCCAACAGCAGGGAGCACTCAGGACAGGGACTACAGCTCTGCAGGAAGTTCAGGGCCAAACAGCCCTGCCCCCAAGACCGCTCCCCTTCCGCCACACCAGAATCACAAGCTTTGACTCTGTCTTCCCATGAGGGGCTTGCAGGGCTGGCTGTCATGACATACATGCCTTCCTGAAGCTGTCCCTCTAGGGGTGTCCTCGGTGTCTCCCTTCACCCCAAAGAGCAGCTAGCTGGCCAGTCTATATTGGCTGCTTTTCTTAAAATGCAGTGGTGTAAAGGTAACTGTGGGGGAGAAGTATGATGGCAGGACTAAGTTACAGAGCAAGAAGAGATCATCTACACTTAAGGCGACACTCTACACCAGGGAGTGTGTACAGATGTGTGTCTGCATGTGTCTCTCATTAACTGTACGAAGTGATGCAGTCTTATTTTTCACAGCTAAAGTCTGACTTGAACCCAGATGGCAAGGGCCCAAAAGTGAGCCCTGCGGGGCGAAAGGGTGACGTTTTCATCATGAGCATTTTCCTTTGAGATGCAGCTGGAATCAGTGAGCCACAGGATGGGGTCCTAGTCCGTCCTCTCCAAGAGCAGGGACAAGAGCTGATGACCCCAAAGAGTGAGCGTGTGGAATCGTCCCAGTGTAAGGTGACACAGGAGCTGCTGAAGCATCGAGGAAAAATCAGGCCCCAAGCCTACGTGGTGGCCCACGCCTGCAACCCCAGCACTTCGGGAGGCTGAGGCAGGAGGCCTGGAGGCTCCAGCCCACTCTAGGAAGCACAATGAAACTCTATTTCAAAATAAAAGAAAAAAAAAAAAAAACACTGGGGATTTTTTTCCGGGCAAAGGCTGAGAAAAGCACTGGAAGAAAAAAGTCATACTCTGGAAAAAACATGAAGCTGGGTGCTTGTGAGTGTTCTGGTAACTTCTGATACGTTAATCTCCAGACAGTCAGATGTTCAAAAATATTACATTAAAACAGACTCAAAAGGAAAGGGCCTTTTAAGAGCTTTAAAGACAGGGGCAAATGAGCGTAGATAAGCCGCCTGTCGCTTGCGTTGTGTGTGTGTGTGTGTGCGTGTGCGCGCGCGTGCGTGCACTGATGGGGACTGCACCCACCTCCCAGCTGCACACAGCGCTGCCAGTGCCTCTGAGACCCTCGCCCATGGGCAAAAGTCGGCTGATACTGTGTCCCTTCCACGTGTCAGCACGAGGGCAGGCCTGGTGCCACATCACCAGCCTGTGTCATGAAGCGCAGCGAGGACGAGCAGAGAGGAATGCGGTGAACGACAGAGAAAGCTGTCTGTGTTATACCGACCACTGAAGGCCATGTTTAGAAAAATCTTGCTTTCCATTTTTCCTCCACGCCTTTTAGAAACAATTCCTCCAGCCAAAATATTGCATCCTTTGATGGAGCTGCTGTAAGGAGACTGGACATGAGATACTTCATGGCTATATGCTCAAACATCATGGCTTTTAAGTGTTTAATGTGGAAGAAACTCCCATTCCTTCGGCATGGTGCCAGCCGTCGCCATGCGGAGGCCCAAGGACAGGACTTGCTCCTGTTCCTTGGGGACTGTGGTGTTCACCGGACGGGGCCTCAGAAGCCGAGATCCAGCCAGTTCTATTACTGGGTACTTGGACAATTCCCTTGTCCTGTCTGAGTCATTTCCTTTTCTGAGAAATTATAGGTTCTGGCTAGCGTACCTCCAAGTGCCCCTCCAGCAGAGTCCTAAGCTTTCTTCTAAGATGAAAGTTTACCTTGAAATACTTCTAGCTACAGAAGGCTTTTGTGATCGAGAATTATAATAATTAAAGAAGTAAAGCTTTACTTGGGAGATGTGTAATCTTTTTCCCAGATCCTAAATTATCCTTTTAAATGAGCTTGCTGTAGAATAATTTTTTAGTGGTACAAATTGTTGCCCACAAATCACTAGCAAGGACAGTCCTTGCGCCTGACACGGTCGAGCGCTCCCCTCTACTCAGCCTATCTACACAAGGGAAGCCATCTACATGGCGAGAGGACACAGAGGAGGCGACTTCCAGCCAAGGGCTGCTGGTTGTCTGGGCCTGTGAGAGCCAAGTCCAGAACCTGGCCTTGGACTTGACTCAGCTTTCGACTCCAAAAGCTGAGATCTTCTCTGGAATAGAAATTTCTCTGGTTTTTGTCCTAAAATACTCTTTTAAACTGTTTCAGAGCTGTTCAGTGTTTTGTCAATCACTTTAGGGAACCATGGAAAAACCTGCACACCACAGGAAGACAGACGCCCATAAGAGGTTTGCCTGGGGTCACCGGTCTGACTTCAGCCGACGCAGGCAGTCAGAAATCCCCTCCACCCAGTATGGAAGCAGCGGGCGAGCTTCTGACACCTCTGTTCACAGGGCTGCAGGGGTGCAGAGACCATGCTGGAGGTGATGGGCGGCTGAGAGCAAGCGTACCAGCCTTCTGCTCCCCTGCCATCCCTGCTGCAATCTACTCAGTTGCTGGATCAATGGGCAAACATGAAGCCATGGCTTTTTGCAGTAAAGTCCATTAAGGGCTTAAACCATGTGCAGGAGTCAAATGGAAGGACTCTGATGCTATCAAGCTGAGTGGTTCCTCTCAGACTAGGAAGGGTGACAGGTACTGTGCCTGTTCCCAGTAGCCTAACACTTTACACCACCCTCAGCCCCTGGGCTGGTCAGTGGTGAGAGTCACTGAACAACCCGGGCATTTCTGCAAAACACTGATGCTGCTTATATAAACGGGAGTGTTACACAGCACTTAACAGCATAGGTTTAGCTACAACAAACAAGGGAAGCGAGTAGCCATAACTCAGTTGGTTACAGTGGTGCATACCCGTAACCCCAGGATGACGGCAGGCTGAGATAGGAGGACCACATCTGAGCCTAGCCTGGGCAATTTAGCAAGACTCAAAAAAAAAAAAAAAAAAAAATGCTGGGGATATAGCTCAGTGCAAGGGTACAATCTCAAGACCTTGGGTACAATCTCTAGAATTGCAAAAACAAAATAAAACAAGATGAAATCCCCATAATTCTTTTTATCTTCAGCTCAACTCCACACAAAACCCCCATAATTCTTACCTTCATCTCATTTCTCTCTTTAAAACTCAAAAGGGCCTAGTATACCATCTATCTTGTAATTGCTGCTTTTCCTGCTGTTGTCAACACACATTATAAACCATCTTATAGGGGCCAGGGAGATAGCTCAGTGGAATAAGTGCTTGTCTGGCAAGTGCAAGGTCCTGAGTTTGATCACTGGTACCACACACAAAAAATAAATAAATAAATAAAAAGTAAACCATCTTATACACTATATATGCATTCTTTCATGTTTTTGAGCATGATCTCACGGGTGAGACTTGCCCAGGGCCCAGTGAGGGGAGAGTGTGCAACGTCTACCCAAGGGTGTGCACCCTGTCCCTGACAGATGCTGGTGATGGCTGGCTGTCACCCACAGCTCTTCACAGCTGTATTCTTGGCGGAGAGACAGCGCTCGGAATCCAGCAGGGGCTGGGCAAGTGAGAAGTAAGTCGGCTGCTCAGCATAATGTAATAGGAACTTTATGGGGAAAGTGACATAACACCAAGTGCATTTGGGGTAGGGATGGGTGGGTGCAAAGCTGACTTTGGATTTGGAGAAAATGGGTTGGAAATTCCTTAGTGAGATGAGAGAGAGATTCAAATTAAAGGCAAAGCCTGCCTTTCTTGCTCGCACAAGGAGTCCTGAGGAATACTAGAAGCAGACCCCCCAACCCCTACACAACAACCTCCTTGAGCAGACATTCACATTTGGAGGAGAGCAGGTGCTGGGAGCTGTCAGCGAATCTGGCACAGCAACACAGTATGGAGTAAAAGAGTACTCCCTGCAGAATGGCAATGTGAGGGCCAGCAAGATGGCTCAGTGGACTAAGTGCCTGCTTAGACCAGTGCAGGGACCAGGTTCGATCCCCAGCGTTATATGCCACATTGACCCTGTCCCTGGGTGCCCTGAGTGGGCTACTGAGATCCGGTGTGGTGGCACACACCTGTAATCCCAGCGCTGGGGAGGCTGACAACAGGAGGCTCATTATGAGTCTGAGCTGAGTAGTGAGACCTGGTACCAAATACATCTTAAAAATGGCAATTTGCCCCTTTAGAGAGAGAGAGTGAGATAGAGAGACAGAGAGAGAGAAAGACAGAGACAGAGGCAGAAAGAGAGACAGACATCGGGCCCTGTGGTCCCCTTACCGTCAGCGACAAGGCCATGCACACGAACGTGAACCTCTTGATGTGAGCTGCGGTGACTGTGTTGCTTGTGTTCACCAGTTTGTTGCTGGGGTTATTCTAGGGAAAGAGAACGGCAATGACACTGGGCTCCAGGGTATCCCTGGCTGACCCCTGGGATCTCAAAGAGCATCTTGTTTTCTGTGAGGTGCCTGCAGCGTGGATGCCAAGGGACAGCTTGGAAGACAGCCATCATGCTGGGTCTCCCAGACGGCTGTCAATGCTCGCGTAGCTGTGCCCGGACCCAATTCCAGGCTGAGTCAGGCCTCTCCCTTGGCGCCAGCTGCCCACCTCATCTGCTCAGCTCGGAAGCCGGTAGGCACTGTCCTCGGTCACCTGGGTCATCTTGCTAATGGCCCAGTCCTGCTCAGTGACTCTCAGTGCTCCTTTCTTCCCCACCAAATGGACCTAAACTGCCTGGGCATTGAAGGCCTTGCTCAATGGCCCAGACTCATGTTCCCTTTGTCATTTCTCCACATGGCCCTACAAATGGCTCCTTGATTTCCCCCGAGACAGGGGTGCTTTTGTTCCTCCTCCTGCTGTTGGGGCTCCTAATTCCCCAGACACAAGTCTCCTCAAGGCCTATCACCTTTACAGCCTCCCTGTGCCCTCTGACTTCTGGCTCTCTTGGGGCCTCACCTCCGCACGACCCTTGGGGACAGCACGCATGGGCACTCCCTGGCTCCCCTGTGGGGCTGTGCCTTCTGAGTCCGAGCACTGTGTCTACCCATGTCACGGGCTCCGAAGCCCTTGCTGCCCCCGTCTTTCTGGAGCCCAGGGTGCTCCCAAAGAGCTCCTGTGACAATGGACTGGAAGCTAGCTCTCTGGCTGGTTGGGATGGGCCTTCTGTAGGCCACTAATCTGAGGCCTGCTGCGGTTCTTCAGGTCTTACTGCCACACAGCCTTACCCCAGCCCGCGCCTGGCCCCACAGCCAGGAAAATCTCCAGGGAAGGAGAACCCCTGCCTTATTACAGATCCAATTAGTCTGGAGGCAACAAACAAAAACAAGCTCACCACCTGGTTTCACGCCCAGGCTAATGGGACATACACACATGCAGCTGCCAGGGTTCTGCTGGGAAGGATCCTGATGGCCCTCAGTGGGGAGGCTGGAGGCTCTGGACTCTCCCCCGCCCCTTCCCCTCAGGACACTGCAGCGCCACCTCAATGTCACTTCTGAATCCTACTATCTGATGTACAGCTGCCTTCCTACCAGGCTGCTGCCCCCGAGAGCACACATCCCAGCATGCTGCGCGGCTGTCCCCATCCATGCGTCCAACGTGCATCAGTCCACGGGGGTGCCTGGTGGTTTGAGAAGGGGCCACGCTGAGAGTCAGGCAACCTTGCCGAGCCCGCAGTGTCCCTGCGCTGATGTGCTAGAGCCCCAGCGGGGATGCTGCCAGTTTGAAATACGTGTCAGTGTCTCTAGACTAGCGCAGGTGTTGTACCTCATTTGGCTGATAGTTCAGAAACACAGATGAGTGCGTGCAGGGCAGACTGCACTGCCCAGTGGGAAGCTCCCAGCTCCACTGTAGCCTGCACCACCATGAGGTGTGAGATACCCACAAAGAGGACAAGGAGGGCTGCGGAGGCTGAGGTCCCCAAGGGCCTGCACAGACCTCCCCTAGGGCTTATCCATGGGGACCTGTAGGCACAAAGCATGAGGTTTTAAAGGACTCTGAGTAACCCAAGTTTCTGGCCAGAGGTACGCTTGTTAAAGGCATTTTTCATAACTTCTAACCTCTGTAATTAGAAATAAAACAATGCTTTTCTCAGATGCTCCTGTTGAAGCCATACAGTGTGGTGCTGCTAAGTTTTATTATTTCAAGGTGGCCTAAACCAGCTCCAGATGGGGCTTTCCCAGCCAGGCTTTACCCCATCAGCACCTGCTCCTGTCAGCAAGTCGCATCGTACGATCTTATTCTCCAGAGCTAGAACTAAGATCTAAAAGGGCTCCATCCATTTTGTGTTTCTAGGATTACCTCCCTCTGTATGTTCCTCAAAACAGTCACTTCTATCTGCAGATTGCATTAAACCCACTGTACAGATTGCCTGAGCTGTCTGTCTGTCTCTCTGCTTGCCCCTCCCCACTGGTGACTCAGGGCCAGTGGGCTGCAGCCACAAGCATTTTCTTGGAGAAACTCTGCACCCAGGTGCCAACTCAGGGGTCTACACTCACCTCCTGACTCAGGGGCTTGGAGAGGAGCCCTTGGCCCAGAGGGCAAGGCTGGGATGCAGCCCTCCCAATGCTCACATGCAGGTTACTGGGGGCAGATCAGAAGCAGGCAGCTGCATGTAGGAAAGGGGGCGAATGCAGCCTATGGCCTTGCCCGTGTTGCGTCCCAGAGCTCTGTGTCCTTGGGAGGATGAGGAGAAGGTGGCGGATGGGGGAAGTTCCAAGCCCAGGCTGTGTAGTGTGCCACCAACCTCCTGGGGACCCCTGACCTGCTGAAGGCTTTTCCTCCTCTTCCTTCACAGGGCTCTTTGTACGATAGGAAAAAATGGTATCCTCAAGGGCTCTGAACCTATGCCATGGAGACTGAAGGCAAACAAAACACACTAAGACACAAACGGCGGTGGGCTGTTTGTAGCGTTTCCACTGAACACACCATGTACTGCTCTTGGGCAGGTGGTGTCACACGTATTTTAGGGTAAAAGCCTACAGTTTCCAGTAACGGAGCTGTAGTGAAGCAGACATTTGGTGACCGGCCAAGAGCCCCATCTCACCACAGGCAGCAGATCACAACAGTTGCGTGCCTCCCTCCCTGGGACCAGGAGCAGGGCGGACAGTGCCTCCCTCCCTGGGACCAGGAGCAGG